TTGCAACTGGATCGGCTCACGAACTGCCGAATATCACTCCTCAACATGTCATGGTATCTCGCCTTCTTCGTCCCCTCATCCGCCACATACTGGGAAAACAACAACGCCCTCTCGTGGAACATAGCGTTTATCTCAACCACCGTCTCAGTAGTCTGGAGAAGGTCCTAGAACTCCCTCGCCAACTACTGCACCTCAATCACCGGTGCAAATTCAGCTCGAAATCTAGTCACAAACTTAACCCATGCCATCGAATCAACTACCGCATCACCCACGGAGCACCCAACCTCGTCCTACCAATCTCGAGCTCTGTCTTTCGGAAGACGGGAAGCAAGTCTGACCTTTGCCCCATCGGGACAACTGCTAGTGCGGAAGGCGTTAGCGACATCTGCTAACCATCGTCTGCTCGCGATCGGGTCCTTCTCCCGAAGTACTCTGGAGTCCCACATGCTCGGAATTCTGGAAGGTCAACGTGTGAGCTCCCATCAATGCCACCATCTCAGACCGAAAAGCGCTCAAACGCTCATCTAAAATCTCCATAATGACCTCCTTGAAGGTACGAAAGATCATAGGAGTCTTCTCATGTATGCTGCAAGTAATCTCAGACGAAATGAACTCCCGTGTCTGATCATCTAACTGTCCGGATCCAGAACCCGAGCCTCAACCCTCACCAGCACCAGAACCATTAACCGGTCTGCATCGAAGAGTCACCATACTGAAAATAGACCATACAAAGAATCAGAACACGCATAAATAATGTCAAGGAGTCTCATACTCTACAAGTTTCCTGGTATCATTGCAGCTTTCCTTGGCTTGAGTACGGACCCCCTGCTTCCAGTAGTACGGGCCCATACTACCTTCCACATCTATCCATACTTTCCTCAAGGATCGCCTTGAATCCTCCAAGTCACTCCTTATCCATACATACAATCCTCAACAAGACAAGGCTCCCAGCACTAAATCTATTCATAGGTTTTACTAGGGCAACCACCACACTACTCTCCACCATCAGCTGCAGAAGGAACTCCCCTTAACATCCTCTAACGAGCTCACGAATACAATTACATATCGCTGACACCAGATAATTCTTCGAATGAAAGGTCTCACACTACAATGGTTGGACTCAAACAAGAGCTGTGCAAAAAATTTAAAACCTAACCTTCTAAAATTATGTAGTCTCAACAATATGTAACTTAGTATATTCACGTACTAGTTAGCTGAAGCTAATGGGAACTCATAAAAGCACAAAGCAAGCAGGATTCGAGTATCGAGTACTCGGAACAAGCATAACCTAAACAAGCCATCCTATCACTAACTGATCAGTACTAGCATGCAAGTCTACAAGCTCATACATCAGGCATACAAAGGCATCTATCCTAGATCCTTAGCCCTAATCTAGCATGTGATTCACATATTCATAGATCAAGCATATCATAAAACATGTATAGGTATTTTGGGAAAGTTACTTGAGCTCGGTCAATTGCATGCACCACACCCTTTTCTTTCGTTAGAAAACTCTTTTTATAAAATATTTTTTTTATAAAAATCTACCAAATCCTCAGTTTGAGTTCAGACACACCCGAGAGCGTGCCTGATTCCCAAACCAAGGCTCTGATACCAACTTGTAACTTCCCAAAAATTAAGACAAAATTTTTTAATTTTTATATTAAATAAACCATCAACCCAATCAATTACATAAAACCATAGCAAAAATCAGAGTGTGTCAATAATATCCAAGTACTTCAGAGTCATAGAAAATGTGGAACAATGTGGTGTGTGCAATGCAGTCATCCTGAGCTCTTCCCCTTGGAATCAAAAGTACCTGAAACATAAAATGAAAACCGTAAGCATAAAGCTTAGTGATTTCCCCAAAATACCAAATACCATACATATCAAACATATGATGGGCCCCACCCGGCATCGAGCCCCGCTCGAAATAGATCTGTCAGTCATCAGGCCCCGCCTGGCATTGGGCCCCGCCCGGTATACATATAAACATATAAACATATAATTATATAAACACATGTAATAATCACAAAGATAAATAGCATACAGGATAGTCATCGGGCCCTTCCTGGTATACATATAAACATGTAACACATGCAAGAGTCACACAAACAACTAGCATCCTAATCATCATAAACCATGGGCCGGCACTAGTGCCTTCGACCTGCTAAACACAGTGATGAAACTCACCTCTAGCTGCTGAATCTCTCAAATAAATCTCGGTCTGCTGGTCCGGAAAATCCCATTGCTAACATCATCAAATAATATCCAATTAATAATTGGATCTCGACCCATAATCAAGAATCTAAGCTACTTGTCCAATATCTAGGGTAAAAGATCATTTTACCATTTTTCTTACTTGGCCTAAAACCAAGGCCCAACCCATGCTTAAAAGGCCCAAATTCCTAAATGACATCCCAAGGCCCAATAGGCCTAACTTCCAACTTGGGACCAAAAATCATCATGGAACTAATCCTAAGAAATTTCATAGTCTATCCATGGCCCAAAGTCAGAAGTCCAATGGCCCAACAAGGCCCAAACCCTAAAAAGCCAAAACTATGACCCAAACCCATGATAGTCAAACCGAAAGTCAATCTGCTGAGTATGTGGGGCGTAATCAGCTCGTATGCTTAGCGTACTACTTCCGGGGCCAGTACGTGTAACGTACTAGCTGGGTACGACCTGCATACTCCCCAGATTAGCAACCCAAATTATTAAGCACTTAATCGATTAAGCCAATAGCCAAACTTCCAGATCTGATCCTAATGGTGACTTAACATGTAAAGTTGACAACTTTACTCTCATACATGAATTAATGGGACCCAACACTCAAAAGGAAGCTTAATAAGAACCTTAACACTTGTATGGACCCATATCTCTCATAAAGATTACATTTTTATGGACAAGGGATCTCAACGGAGCTAAGATCTAACATCCATGGCTTCTGGAGTAAATCATTAGCTCAAAAGACCCAAAATGCATAAATAACACCCTAGGTTGGATCTAACATAAATAATCATCAAGATGGAAGCTTTTTACCTCGAATGACTTGCTAAGATGAAGATGACTCTAGATCTACAAGCTCAAGCTACTCCCAAGCAACCTCCATGTGTTCTTCTTCTTCTTCTTCTTCTTTCACTAAACCACCACCAAATCTCACATTCAATCAAAACTCACAAAAGGAACTTAGGGTTTCGTTATTATGATATAGGGTGATGGAGGTTGATCAATAAAATGTCTCAAGGTGCTATAAGTTGCTTAAATAGGGTGCAAACCCTAAAAATTAGGGTTTACCCCTGCACCACGTACACCATGCGTACTCCACATACGCCCGCGTACGTGGGTGAATCCTACGTCTAGAAAAGAGCTAGTACGCTAAGCGTACTCATAGAGTACTCCCCACGTACTAGCTAGGGACCAAAAAGATAAGGATTTTGCATTAAGGGGCTAAAAGGGAAACATACCAAATTACGAATGTTACAATACGCATGGTTATTATAGACTGCTTTTATAGGATTCATTTTTAATAGTTTTTTTCATAATCCATTATTTATATAGTCGATTTCTCTCTCTCTCTCTCTCTCTCTCTCCCCCTCTCTCTCTCTCTTCAATAGAACTCTTTTCTTGGGTTTCCCGAAACATCAATTTGTGCAAGGAAATTGACTGATTTGGTTTAATAGATTTTAATATTTTGTGTTATGTGGAAAAAAAGGTTAAAGTTTGAAATTTTGTGGGAATAATGTTCTTATTTTTTATAGATTTTTATATAATACTTTATAATGATTAAAATCATCGTATTATCTTACTATTTTTTATGCTAATAACAACATTTGATGAAAATGAGCTTATTTAAATTTGGATATGATTGCAAAATCTTTCTTTTCTACCATAATAAATAAAAATCCTTTTTGGCAACTAGGGATGTCAACGGGGGCAAACGGGACAGCGAGTGCATCCCTCGCCTCCGCCCCCGAAATTTCCCCGTTCCCCCGCCCCCGAAATGTCCAGCCTCCTACCCCCGCCCACGTTCCCCCGCCCCGATTGATTTTGGGCTGCCTTTTTTTGGGCTAAAAGAAGTTATTTAGGCTAAAAGAAACTATTTTTTAGATAACAAATAACTATTTATAGTAGAATTTTATATGTTAAAAATAAAAAAGTTATGGCATTTTAAAAACATTATACTAACAACTTAAAAACACGTTTTTTGATGAATTTTGGAAGCTCAAAATCATGATATAGTTTATTATATTTATATAATTAATATATGTAAATATATATGTAATTTATTAACGGGGTCCCCATGGGGGTTTCGGGACAGGATTACCTACCCCCGCCCGACCCCCGAAATTAAAACGGGGGTTAACCTTGCCCCCGTCCCCATCCCCGCCCCTGGTTAATTTAAAAAAAATCTCCCAAACGGGACGGCCCCCCCACAGAAACGGGGTCCCACGGGACTTTTTGACATCCCTATTGGCAACTTGTCACTTTCTCATCCATTTGTCCATATGTCATTTTGTGTTATTTTTAAATTAAATTAAAATCCCCTTGTCATTTTATGATTTTTTTTATTTTGTTAAATCCTTTCAAATTCAAAATAATATTTAACATCACTTAATATGATAAAACAAGTAGAATCCCTTAATTTAAGGATAATTATTTGAAATTCATTTAAGCATTCCTAAATACCCGATACTTTCTATCTCAAATATAAACATAACTAGCTGGGGTACCCCGCTACGCGGGGTGTGGATTCGTCGATACTTTTCGTCCCTTGATTATAGGTTTTCCTATACGGCTCTGGCAGAAAAGTGTATCCCGGGCTTCGCCCAGGACAATGTGTGTGGGAGGTTTTTTTTTTGTATGATGCCGAAGTGTCCATGTTTCATATGAATCAGCTCCTTCAAATTCTTCCTATTATAGCATCATGTTTCAAATCTGAAATGAAATCCGCAAGAACAATCTAGTGCCAAGAAATAAGAAACTATTTTAGTTTATTTATTGACTATAACATCCTACTTTTGTTTTTGTCTCTCATATAAATCGAAATATAATTTTGGAAATTTTGAAGAACAACAATAAATTAGATCTAACAATTAGTGTGCTTTCCGTTATTCCAGGCTTCAAGTGCTTGTATTTCATAAGCAAGTTACTGATTAAGGGCTTTTTGTTTGCAAAGTCCACAGCATCGCCAAGCACCTCATACATGTTCTCTATCGCCTTCAAATCTGCTTCATTTGGCACTTTTTTTTCGAGGTACTTCTTTAAACCTGTTGTTGTTGGATCTGGTTTTGGATAATGGGTGTTCTCAACTATCACCAAGCATGTTCAATCCTCTTGAACGACATATCTATATAAAATATTGAATACCAAAGAAGTTCATCGGATGAGATTTGTGTGTGAAAGTTGAAAAATAAATGTGCCAATATATGGTTTACATGCTTAATTAATTTAAATCCTTGTGGTTGTTCTTAAAAGTTTTAAGGCTTTTTTATGAATTAGTGATTCACAGATGGTTTTATTGGAATAAAAAAAAGGCGATTTTTAAAGCTACGTGGATGTTCTGTTTAAAATATTTTGACCAAGGGTATATTTGTCTTTTTTTTTTTTTTTCAATTTTTAATCGGGTCTAGAAGTTAGGAATGGATTTATAAGACTCTTATAATCTATAATCACTTGTTTTTTTATTTGTGGAAGACTCAACCTACAATATCTTTATTAAAAATATAAACTTGCAAAGTCTTTATAGAAAAAAATAGCGAGAAGTATAAGGAAATATATATATAAAGTAAAATTTGGTAAAATTTACCATCGCTTCTAATCCGGTCCTTGATGATGCAATGCGTTGTGGGACCCACATTATGTTCCTACACCATCATCATTATTAATTGATAGTTAGTAATTAATAAAGAATAATAATAAATACCCGAACAGCTTCCTCAGCAGGGACGGTCCAGGTATTGTCCTGTTCAAAGTAGTTAAAAAAAAAAAAGAATAAATTATATCAGTGGAAATATTGTTAAAACTGTTTGTTGGAATATAAGGTTAATACGGTCATGTATCATGATAACGAAGGAAATACATACCTTGGGAATACGAATGAGGGGACATTGGATTTTCCAAATGATCTGATGATATAATAAGTATAAATTTACCGGAATGAACGGGTGCAACACGACCAATCGCTGACTCACCAAAATCAGGATCCAAAACATCCTCAAATTCATTGGATTTTCCATCAAGAGCCACACTTTGAACTTTAAAGCTTGGTGGTATCAACCCTTGACCAGGTCTATGGCAGTCAACTGTCTTTTCCCAACTCTGGCAAGAAAAGAACACAAAAAAAGTCAAAGATGCTTCAACTATGAAATCATGGTTTGACATTTAAAGATTCATTCTGTTTGCTAACACCATATCTGATAGAAATGATCATAAAGAAAATATAAGCATCAACGATTAAAATATTTATTGATAGGGCTTGTTACCTAATTAATTTGTTAAGAAATTCACAAGACTCATAAGGCATGTGTATGTTTGTTTTGAAAGTGATTATAATGACCTGCAGAATCACATCATCAGATGATTAAAGATAGTGATAGGTAGATTAGTTTACATTTGTCCTAATAATCAGTTTATCAAAGCAACTTATTACCTGTTTCTCCAAATATTATTATTGTGACTGAAAGTAATCATAATCATTTTCAATCTATACAAAAACACCCAAAGTAAAACCATATTGGGTTGAAGTTAGTCTAAATTTTTTGAAAATGCAATGCAAATAAGTCGGTTGAGTTCATAAAATTTTTATAGCATCATCGGTCTTGGTCAAGGTAAAAAAAGATAAATTCTCAAGGAAAAAAGTCACCAGAATGTAAAAGCCACCTTGTTTATCCTTGTAGTGAACCTATGAAATCCCATAATATCCATTCAATGTTCTTTACGCATTAAAAAAAGTCAAGAAATTAAATCATGAATAGATAAATTATATAACCAAAAGTCTCAATCAAACAGGGTTTGATGCATACATGTACAGTTGCCACTCATACTGAGGACCGGAGTTACAATCTTTACTATTTCGATGTTCAAACTTCAATTCTACCTGAAAAAAGAATAAAAAACATGAGCACAATGATACATAATCGGTTACCAAAACGATCAGGGTTGTAATTGTGTTACATAGCATACCTTACCTGCATCGGGGCATGTTCTATGTATTTACACATCAGTGGCTGGACTATTGTAACCTTTTTGAATGAGCACCTGAAAAAGTAAAAAAAAAAATTATCAAGTTAATTACCTTCTCACAACATTAATTCACTGAACTAGATGTAATTTTACCATAAAAAATTCATCTATATCAGAACCTGAAACTAACTGCCAGGGGAACATAAGTAGGGAAAATCAAATTTGAAGAAGCAACATAGGTTAAAGAAGGAGAATATAAATTGAATTTAGGCATTCCACCAACAAAAGATGCAAATATAAAAATGACACAATTCATCAGAACTTACTGAAGCCATGGTTGTAGAGGATCTTCACCTTCATACTCATCAATGGATTTAAATAGGTTTCTAATACAAGTTAGAAACAATAATAAGTCAATCTATAATAGTCATTATGAAGCATAGCTTCACTCAGGCATTTCCCCAAACACCTAATATGCAACTGCAGACACAACCACAAGGTATATAGAAATCAAATGAAAATTTTATTCAGCCTTCTGATATCTAAACAAAACTGGAACCAAACAGAGGCATGATTCCGCCACGAAACTTTGTCCTACTTCAACCAAACCCTGCCAAAGAATCCAACCCAAGAGACACTTACAGTTTGCCATTTGATACAGGAACACATAAGCATAGGTTTTCATTCTTTCACATCGATAAGTTGAAAGTCAATAAGTGACAGATTCAAACATGTATCCCCTGCCATTTCATAGACACGGAGATGTATTAAAGAGATATTAAAAATGAAAGATTAATCAGCCACATACCCAAATCGAGATTGGAAGAAAGGTCGTCGTTAACCTGTTAACATGGAAAACACAAACAAAAATCGAATTCAAAATAAAATAGGAAAATCCCACTACAAAAAATCACATCGTGAAGAGTAACCCTAATCTACAAAATTAAGGGAGAAGACGAACCACTGTGTTGCAAGTTGTGGTGTTCCGATGTCGATGGCGTCCGCTTTCCACCCATTTGTCACCAGAAATCGTATACAAAACATTAAAAAAACACCCTAGACAATCGATTCATCAAAACCGACGGTAGTATGTCTTCCGGTTCCTACATCGATGATACAGGAGTGTGTTCAACTTCCTTTTATCCTCCTTACATCTCACTTAATTCTCCCGTTGTTTCGTCAGCCAGAAAGAGGAGGACACATAGAGGCAGCGGAAGCGTCAAGAAGAACGGTCTGAGGCGGTAGAAGCCGATGGGGTAAGGTCGATAAGATGACTGTGGATGTGGCGACAATCGCTCGATCGTCGATGTTCAATCGGCACACGATGGCGGTGGAGGATGCTTTTGGAATGGCTGAGAAAGGAGCAATAAAATGGATACGATCCACTTACACCGGATAAACATCAAATACAGTCACACACAGCAGCGACGATGATCAACACGTGTCAAAAGAAAGAAACTAAGTACATAAAATGCCCCGTATAAAAAAAATCCGAAACTGCAACAAATGAGGGACCATTTTTGCCAAACTGTTCACCAGTTCACTATTCATGTTGGAAGCCAAGTTTAATATATACTAGAAAGGTTACCCTCGCTATGCGGGGGCCAGAAGCTTTCAATGCTGTTTCCGAATTGATAAATATGACAGACATAGAAAGTGCAAGGATGAAAAGTCCGGGCTTTGCCCCGGACAAAAAATGTAAAAGTTTTGACTGCAAGGACCAGAAGTGTGAAAATGGCTAAAGAATTAAAAGAGGTAGAAATTAGCAACTTTTTAGAAAATGGATCAAAGTTTTCAAACCGTTAAAGTTTTGTGGCCAAACTTTAAATATTAAAAGGTTCCAAAAAAGTGTAAAAATATTGATTGCAATGACCAAAAGTGTCAAAATGGGTAAAGAATAATGAGCAAAGTTGCCAAAAAACATCCAAATTTAGTATTCCTAACTTCCAACAATAATACAGGAATCAATTCTGCCAAAAAAATGGGAAGTTGAATGGAACACAAACAAAAGGACATGAATAAATTAATTAAAGAAGTACAGGGACCGGATATGTAAATCAAGGGACCAAACCTGGACAAAGTATGTCATCTTCACTATTCCTTTCTTCCATAACTTTAATATATATATAATAATATAATAATTTGCTTAATTCGGATTGATTCTATCTCATCCCAAATTATTTAACAACTGTTTACTAACATACTAACAGTACAAAAAATATTTATTTATCTATTCCAAATTGGAGAATTGGAGAATTTATATGAAATTCGGATATCATACTCCTATTTTTGAATTTTATGATAATTTTTTTGGATAAATTTTACATTATTTTTTTTTTGTATTGAATAAAAAGACAAAAATATATTAAACAATTGATAGTTGGCAATAGATTTTTATAACATCTGTTTTTAAAGGTAATGATTTTTTCAAGTTTAATTTATTAAATGAAATTTTGTGAGGGTTTTTGGGTGGGCCATGACATGGCGGTTGAGTCCCCACGACATGGCATCGTCCGATTAAGAAGATGGAGTTGTGAAGCACCATGATGTGGCAGTCTGCTTGCCATGATGTGGCGGCCATTTTGGTGTAAAATTCTATATCTCTGGGTTTGTACCCTATTTAAGGGCACTAACTCATAGGGTTGCCTTATTTGGCAGTCTACACTCTCTGAAATCATATCCCATCCAAACCTTAGCCTCCATAAATGTATTTTGAGTGTGTGAAGCTACTTTTGTGAAGGTTGGGGGAAGAAGGAGTCCGTTTTGGTGCTTGTGTGCTTGGTTCCAACTTAGATCTTGCATCTTCATCACATTTGTAGTCTTTTAGAGGTATAAAGTCTTAACCTTGCTCATTAGATCTCTTGATCTAGTTCTAGGTCATTTTATGAGCTTTTTGGTTCATATCTTCTTGGTCTTGGAGTTTGAGTGAACTCCAGAACCTTTGTGTGCCTTATTTGACTTTTGGACCATGGTGATGGTTAAAAAGGGGACGTTAATGACTTAGTTTAGTGCCCATGCAATGGGTGCAACCATTAAGAGCTTAATATTTGAGATATTGTATTATTTGGATGTCTTAAAGGATAAAGTTGGAAACTTTATCCATATAGACCTTGGGAAGTTTCAGATATGAGATTTGTAGCTCATGGGGTTAAGGGTTAAGAGCTTAATCCATTAAGCTGTAAGTGGCCAGTTTCCACGACGTGGTAGTCTACTTGCCACAATACGGATGATGGTGTCACCACAATTGTTTTGTCATGTAGCTGACGCGACGTGGCCTATGGGTGGCCACGACGGGGAGGTCAACTGGAGCTGACTTTGACCGTTGATTTTTGGACCAACTTGACTTTTGGTCAACTTGAGGGTTTTAGCGTGTAGACCGAGAGGGTACTTATATATTGATGATTAAGTGATTCTTAGTACCAGTCTTCACTATCAGAGAGCTGTTGAGTTGGGCTTATATTTGCGAGGTGAGTCTTCTCACTATATTACCTATGCCATAGTAGGGTGCATGCTAGATTAGTTGAGTCTTATTTGCTTATTGTTGTTATATGTATTATTGAGTTGCTGATAACTCCAAGAATGTTGATAGTCCACAGGGTTGCTGATAACCCATAGAGATTCTGTGAGCCCATAAGACTGCTGATAGTCCTCAGGAATATTGATAGTCCTAAGGTTGCTGATAACACATAACTGTTTATTATGTTGTGTTGTATATGATATTTTGGGGAACTCACTAAGTTTCGTGCTTGCAATTGTTGATTTAAATGTATTTCAGGTACTTTAGATGATCGTGCGAAGATGAAGACTTGACTGTACACACTCATCTGCAGCTTTTGTGATTCCGTATTTTTATGATACTCTGATTTTTAGGATGACTGTATTTTTATACTTTTGGTTTTCTTGATCGTGTTCAATGATCATAATATCATAACTGTTAAATGTTGGTAGGGTTCTTTAACAATTTTGAGGTTGTTTATATTATTTCAATTGTTCAAATGGTGTATTTAATAACCTTTGATTAATCTTTCTTTGACATACAACGATTTCATTTAGAAGTTATCAAATAACATGTACAAAACTAATGATATTTAATATTGTCATTGTTATACAATTTTGGATTCACCTTTCTGGTTAGTTTACTTTCTTAAACTTAATTTTATTTTCAAGCCTAATGCAAGACTAACTTGTTAATATCACATAGTATTATCATGGAAGCAGTATCATGACGGCAAATCATAAAAAAAAAAAAAAAGTCTGGAATGGAAAAAGGCAAAGTCGTGTTTTAGCCCGCTTTTGTGGTCACAGTGCCGTTTTAGGGCGTTTTACTCATTGACTCGCCTATCTCACCCAAGTCTTTTTTGTTTTTATTTTTCAAAGTTTTTAAATTTCGTTATCTGCTTATGATCCTGCTTGAAAATGGTATCAGAGCCATAAACAATCTTTAATGGGTATAATAGAATCTAGTTTGTCTCATGGACCGGTATATTTTAATGTCTACCTAACTTTACAGCTCTCTTTATCTGATAAAAATATTTTTCAAGCCTTAACATTAAATGTCAAAACTCATGGTTATAATTACTTACCAGGATCAGAAGTAATATTTATATGTTATCGTATATATTTTAAACCATTAAAAACTATGAATCCTAAATGTAAGATAGTTAATAAACCTATAAATGAAACAATTTTAATAGAAAGTAACCTTTGATTAATCTTTCTTTGACATACAACGATTTCATTTAGAAGTTATCAAATAACATGTACAAAACTAATGATATTTAATATTGTCATTGTTAATTTAATATAAAAAAGATTACTGAGTTTTTATTTTTATTTAGTAGCAATTTATATTAATTAGAGATTGTATTATACTATTGTTTAAATTTAACTTTAATTGTTGTAATATATTGTACTAAATATAAAAATCATGACAAGATTATAATACTATTTTTAGTTTATAGTAAACTCTTTTCTATTATAATTATTCATCAAGCTATATAATAAAATATAAAAATAGAAAAGGAAAATCTCCAAAAATAAGTCATAATGGTCTCATTTATTTTATTTTTTTACAAAAAAGTCTTAACCGGTAAAAGGTTATATTCTTACATTTTTTTTTTCGGTTCAGCCGGTAACAAATTAATTTGTGACTATTTCGTAAACTGACACTAAATATTGAGATTTTTTCGTAAACTGACCCAAAATATTAGGATTTTTCTACAAAAATCTTTATTTTTATTTTTATTTTTATATTTATTTTATATATATATATATATATATATATATATATATATAAAATGTGTTTATATGTATAAATATATATGAAAAATATTTTTATACGTATAAAAAATATCTATACCGAAGAGATGTAGTTTTGGTTATTTTATCTGATTAAATCTTTTGTATATATCGTGTAAGTTAGGTATGCTGAGTATGACCATCTGTACACCATACTTAAGCATGTCCTGTCTATTCGTTGTATATTTCTAGTCTATAAACAGATGTTAGGAGTTGTTTAAAAGTGTGTATTGTACCCTTCACATTATCAATAATACAAGTTGCATTCTATATACTTATGTTGTTCATCATTCATTAACTTCAAGTTTGTAAGCAAACTTGATTAAGATACAACTAAGTTGTTTATTACTTGCTTTATGTTTATGCTGTAATTGATGTTGTTCTTATAATTTCCGTTTAAATGTTCTTTATTTCACATCTTATTTATTGCAGAGTTGTTAAAGATCCACTAAAAAAGTTTTATTTTGCATATGTTCTATCATCATCTACTTTTTTTCTCAACAACGTATAAATACGTTTAAAAGATAAACAACTTTAAAAAAAAACATTTTTAAAGTTTTTTTATTTAAATAATTTATACATGTATTTAATAATACATATAAATACGTTTAAATGAAAAAGGAACTTTGAAAACATTTCTTAAGGTGTAAAAATATATGAAAACGTTTTTCATATATATATTTATTATATTTATGCATATTTTTTACATCTAAATACGTTTTTATATGTATAACTATATATTTAAAATGTACTTATACATGTATTTATGTAATAATATTAATAATAACGAATTTAAAAAATAATATATTTATTTGCGTTTTTAATAAAAGAATAAAAATAAAGGTTTTTGCAGAAAAATCCCAATAATTTTGAGTCAGTTTACGAAAAAGTCATAATATTTTAGGTCAGTTTACAAAATAGTCACAAATTAATGTGTTACCAACTGAATCCGGAAAAAAAGGGTCCGAATGCAACCTTTTACTATTGTTAGGACTTTTTTTTTGTAAAATAATAATGATTTCAAACTATTTTGTAAACCGACCCAAAAATATTGAGATTTTTTTAAAGATTTCCCAATAAAAAAGTAAGAGGGTTAA